AATTATCCGGCTGGCCTATTTAGAAGTATTTGCTCACTGTCTACTGCGAGTTGCTTAGGCTAGCCCATGGTTTGCAGGGTGTCAAGATATCTGCAACTGAGGAATGTCTTTAAAAAACTCTGGTTGGGTTTTTTAGTTGATCTTCTTAGTGTTAAAGTTGAGCCCTGCGATCCGAAGAACTATCATACCGACAATCAGACATGAAATGTAAGCTGAGTGTCTATGCTGCTGTCGTACCGAGAGGTTTATGTCTAGCGTTGGATAACCGCCTGTCATCCACTGCTAGTTGTCACACTGCGGAAATACCATTCGCGACACTGTTGATGGCAGGTAGATTAGGCAAATTAGAGGCTGCACAGAGTGATGAGGCATGCCATCCCCGTGTGGTTTTCTTAATCGGGGTATTGAAATTGCTAAAAGAGAAGGTGTAGTGCGTCCGTGAAACAAGTCTTAGACCGCGACACAGCGTCGTGTTGATATGCTCGTAAAGGTCACTATACGGGATTGTCTTGCCCTCGGGTAATAAGTTTGACAGCCTGGTGAAGCTTGTTCTGGCGCGCTGGGTAATATTCGTGCTGGCTCTGCTCCGAGCACTGCATTAATTTTCATACTTATAATTTCCTGAAAGATACATTGAGCAGAAATCTGGGCCATGGGGTCCTACAACCGGTCTTTGAGCCATTTATGCCATTGATCGTATCAGCAGGGAGAGAGTTAATGCGTATTTTGAGGTAGTTGTCTGATAACAGGAAGTGCGAAATCAGACCAGAATCCCCAGTAAAGCATAATGGAGCCTATTTGTTATTTAATTGACAAAGTGGGAGTGCGTATCAGTAGAGGCGATACAGAATTAAGGAGAATATTCATAGACATACCCTAGAATTCGACTCAAAGCTGTCCCAGATTCCCTGATTGACCGGAAGCATTAGGCTTGATTCTCCGTTTTCTTGTCGTTGATACCTGTAATTCGTTCCAAGAACGTACCGTTTGCCACTAATTTAGCTTCGTAATCTAACCGAGCTCATTGCAGTTTTACAAATCACCACGATTATTGTCGATGAGAATACCCGTCTGGATATGTTTAGACGAGATAAAAGGCCACGACAGAATAGCCAGCTGGGACATAAATCTTCAGAGGAGCGTACTTCAACTCGTGAGGAGGGAACCGTGCGTTTAGTCGAGGCTGCGAACATACCCAGGGCGTGCCCCAGGAATCACCCAACAACTGATCATCTCCGGGCCTGCTTTTATGGAAGCCTATGGAACATCGACGAACCTTTTCGTCGTGACGTTCGGCTGGCTACAATCCCACCAAACTTCGAGGTTCATACACAAAAGAGATGACGAGTGTAAGGAAGGAAGCTTCGATTGTCACGGGCTACTCTTGGTAGTGATAACACTGTTTCCCTTTCCTAATGTTCGTGGACCCGCCTAGACAATCTTCAAACCCAATTAACTAGGAGTCATACTAAAAGTAAGCAATTGTCCTGTGGTCATTATTGAACAGCGGTACAGTACGCCACGTCGACTTTTCAAGGTTCTGTCCAATAAGGATATATGCTTCTGCCATGCTACAAAGGGAGCTCCCAGTGTCCACTGGGGCCCTTATATCCGATTGGGAGTCAGCTTGGGTATTACAACTCTGTGATGAGGATAATTGCAAAAGTATGCGTAAGCACAGACATGTCAAATACTTTTGAGTTATTAAATTTCCTTAGAAATTAAAAAAAGCAAAGACGCAAAGCAAAGTTATTTAGTTAAGAAAGACAATTCTAAAATATCTTAGCATTCCTTCATCAGAAAGGCTGTCTCATCAGTGATAATTATTTGAACTTGGTATTGGCAATCACAAGATAGGTCTGTCTCTCACCT